TTTCATGTTTAGGTTCAGCATATCCTAATCTTGATTTATCATTGTTGTTTCTAGAGTATTTTAACATCTATTCAAGATTCTTACTTCCTACGGTGAACTTTGATAAATTTGATTTTAATAAATCAATTTCTTTGTTAAGCATGTTTACTTCTTCTGTCTTTTTCAATAACTTTGCATTTTCATTTTTGAGAAAAAGGTTTTCCTCAAGTAGTTCAGAAATCCTTTTCTTTTGTTCTTTATAAGTTGTTGAAATTTTTGCCGAATCAAACAAAAGTTGATTATATGCATGCTCAAGAGATTTAAAATCAAATTTGCTAACCTCTTCATCATCAGATTTTGATGATGAGTCTGTGTCTGCCATGAGACATATATTTGCTTCTTCATCATCGTCAGATGATGACGTGTCTAGATCTTCCCAGGTAGCTATCATAGCCTTCTTCTTTTTGTGTGAGGTCGACTTTTTCTTTTCTTTCTCCTTCTCTTTTTCCAGTTCTGGACATTCTATTTTGTAATGTCCTGGTTTCTTGCATTCAAAGCATACTGGATGTGCCTTGTCTCGTGAAGTTCTGTTGAACTTTCTCCATTGTGACCCTCCCTTCTTCTTCATCATAGAGTGGATCATTCTTGATAAGAAGGATATCTCATCGTCTGAGTCACATGTTTCTTCACCACAACTTTCATTAGACGTTTCTTCCGCCTTTAAGGCTTTCGAAGATGATGCTGTAGGTTTTGTCTTTTGCACACTCAGTGCAATGGACTTTTGTTTTTTTCCAGTGTCATCTTGTTGTAGCTCCAACTCATGGACTTTGAGTAATCCTATGAGTTCTTCCAGCAAGAACTTTTCAAGATTTTTGGACGCTCTCAAGGCCGTAACCTATGATCTCCATTTCCTGGGTAGATTGCGAAGTAGTTTGTCAATATAATCAAAATTATCATAAGTTCTGCCTAAAAAAGAGAGTTCATTCATAATTGTTTGGAATCTTCCAAACATAGTTTGGATAGACTCGTTCTCTTCCATTTCGAAGAGTTCATACTTACGAACTAACAAGATCAGCTTGTTGCGTTTTACCTCCAGGGATCCCTCATAGGTTAGAGCTAGGGTATCCCACATTTGCTTGGCACTCTTGAAACTGTGTACTTTAGTGTACTCTTCCTCAGGCAGAGCACACGTGAGTGCATTTCAGGCTTTGGAGTTTAGCACGAATCTCTGTTTTTTTTCTTCATTCCAACATGCTTTAGGTATCTCCCTGCCAACCTCATCAAGTGGAATATAATTTCCTTTTTCTACGACATCCCACATGTCTATATGACACGCATCAAAGAATGCTATCATTCTTTATTTCCAGTAGTTTGTCGCTCTGAAGAGAGGTCGGCAGTTCACCAGCTGTCCTTCATTTTCCATTGATCGTACCCTTGCAGTGTTAGATGCTCAACCCAAGGGGTCAAGCTCTGATACCAATTGAAGTAAGCGAAAAAAACACACAGAAGGGGGGTTGAATGTGTGTGTGCAAGAGCGAAGGAATTTTAAAACCGTTTTCACAAAGAGACTCTTTTCCGTCTAAAAACAATATTATCTTGAACACTTAAAAATTGTGTAGAGTTGGCTCAACAAAAGATTTTTCGTCTAACGGTTTATCGTCTGCACGAGGAAAATGTTTCTTAAAAGGAAAATGTTCTTTAAGAGAATAAGTTACGCAAGTATGTTTTTCGTCTGAAGATAGTTGTGATAAAAACAAGCAGTGGATGAAAATTTCAGTATGATATAACAACTAAATAAAATTGCATCTAGAAATGGATAAAGAGTGCAAAGAGTTTTATACTGGTTCGCTCGGCCTGAGCTACGTCCAGTCTCCTTCAACTTAAGGGTTCCACTAATCACAACAGATTACAAGTATTCTCAACCACTTCTGGTTCGTCAACTTCAGTCGTCGACGCTAGTATTCTTAAACCACTTTTGGTTCCCCAAGTATTATCAACCACTCTTGGTTCGTCAACTTTAGTCGTCGACGATAGTATTCTTAAACCACTTATGGTTCCCCGAGTATTGTCAACTGCTCCTAGTTTTCCAAGTATTCTTTCACTAGCCTCATCAGGCTTTACAAATGATAGATGGTTTGAGTGTGTATATAACTCTCACAAAGAGAATAGGATGGTTCCTACACTCACTAAGGTATGAAATCTTAGTTTACAGAGATGTGTTTTGAGTGTGTGTATTACTCTCACAAAGAGGATAAGATAGTTTCAACACTCACTAAGATGAGCTATCTTAGATTTACACAGATATACAAGACTGTACAAGAAGAGATCTAAGTTCGCTTTGACTTTGGCTTGACTTTTGCTTATTGCTCGTTGCTTATCTTCTCTATTTTCTTCTCTCGTTTGGTCTTGATATTTATAGCCCCTTGATGAATCTGCCTATTTTTAGAATTTAAAATTTCCCGTTAGAGCAGAGCTCCCCATTGGTGTAGAAAGTAGTTCGTTCATGGCTATGAAGATCTTTCATTTAATACATTTGATCTTGCATTAAATGTTTGCTTGATAAATCTGTTACGTGAAGTTTTCTTTGTAGTTTGTTCACTTTTATGTCTGACTTCAATCATAACCTAGGTATATATGTTCTCTTTTCGTCATTGTATCTGCAGAGGCATTGTATTTTTCTAAAAAGTAGGTGTACTTGCTCTGACACGTGCAACTTTGACTTGTGGATTCACGCTTGCCTATTTTTCTTTTTTCTTTTTACACTTTTGATGACTTCGTGTGTTCTTCTATGAGTCTAGACGATATATGATACTTCTCGTTGTGAATAGTAGACTTCAGACGCTTTTCAATATTCTTCGTCTGCGTCTGGAATTTGAGTTTCCGTCTAAGAGATAGACTTTAACTTTTCTTTCGTCTAGTTTGACTTTTCCCTTTCGTCTAGTTTGACTTTTTCTTTTCAACTAGTTTGACTTTTTCTTTTCGTCTAGTCAGTTAAGAAGATGGAAAACTTTAGTTCCGTTTGAAACGTTTCTTCGTCTTGTATTACCCATCGTCTGATACTTTTGTTAATCTTTGACTGGTAGACGCTTTTTCTTGTATGTATTGCATTTTCTTCTGGCTTCTGATCGTCTGATGTTTTGTACAGTTCAGCCAGACTTCGTTTGGTTTGACCATAGTATGTGTGATGATGTGTGCTTCATCTTTTCAGTTTTGCCTGTTCTTATATTTATCTGAAACACTAACACATATGTTAGAAATAAAAATATGTATTATATTTGTCATATTCAAAACCTTGTTGAAAATTTGTTTGTCTGACTTAACAAAGTTATAAGGAGAGAGAACTTGCACAAATAAATGAAGAAATTATGAAAAAGAGGTCCACTTCTGACCAACTTTTATATATATAATTTTGATTATTATTGAACTAATTTTTGATGTAGTAATATTTAAATTTAATAAATAATAAGTTAAAATATATCACAAATTATTCGGCTTATTTGATAAAGGAAGAATAATTTAGGTATGTTTAAACAAATTTCTCTAAAAAATACATATGGAAAAAGAAAATAAGAAAAATAATTTTTTTTAAAAAAGAATTATAATTAGTTTATGCCAAGTAAAATTTAAAATTAACTTTTTAATATTTTTTAAATTTATTCATAAATTAATTTTAGTTATTTTATCATTTTTGTTTTATTTTTCTTCTTCTGTATTTATATAAAAGAAATTATCAAATCATACTTTTTATTAGATATTATATGTTTATTATTGCATTTAGATTTAAATGACGATATAACTTCAAAACGATAAAATAAGTTAACTTTTTTTACAATGATATTCCAAAAAAAAAGTTATTTTTATGATACTTTAAGTTTACATACAATGTTGATTTTCATTTAAAGTATAAATATTAATTAATTTACGATCAACTATATATCGAATGTTATATGACCATATAATAAATGAATATTTTAACATAATAAATTATAAATTTTGAATAAAATAATAAAATAATATTATAAACGTATAAATTTATTCGGCATAATAATCTTTTTTTAAATTTTTAAAATTTATATTAAATCAATAATTTCATTTTATAATTACTAAATATTATATATTTTGTATTTTACAGTAAAAATCGATGTAACACCGAGTTTTATAATAATTGTGTATTGATAAATATTCATCTAATTTTAAATGAGTTTACTTTTCAATATTGTATAAATATTAAAAGCATATAATATATCTTATTACTCCTTCATATATTTAATCACAAAAGTGTTTTTATATTTATTGGAAATTTATTTTTATTTAGTTGTAAATAAAACAACTTTAATTTCTTTTGATCCTACTATGGATATCTTCTATTTCATTGGATCAAGGAAAGATCTTCCTCGAGATATTGTAATTTTTGTTGGTTCAGAAGATCTAAAAAAAAATAAAATCTTTTCTAATTGTTTTTGAACCAATCTTTTTAATTGTTTGTTTAATAATTTTATGAAACAATAAAATTATGAGAGAAAAGAAGATGTTTATAAAAGAAAAATATGTATAAGAAAGATATAAAAAAGTGTACCATTCTAATAAATAAATAAAAAACAAAAATTTGTCATAGCCTTAATAACGTATAAGAAAATCAAATGAAATTTTCATATGTTTTTACAAGAATGTGATATGAATAAAAAATATTTAAATAAAAGAAAGAAAAATAAATAAAAAAATGAAAAATAAAAAGGTTATATTTATTTCGAGCTCCTATTGTTTTTATTTCAAATAAAATTAATGGTCTCTATAAATCGTTATTTTTACATATTATAGTTTGCTTGACAATAATAAAAATAAAATAAACTTTTATTGTCATATCATATTAATATGTATATTTTTTAATTATTTACTAATTATTTTTTCAAATTTAAAATTTACTTTTTTTATTAATAAAATTTTAACACTCACATAATTTGGACGACACGTACACGCACTAGTAAGATATATTTTCCTGTGACAGTGGCAAAGTAGAAAAAAGCAGAGAATCAAACTCAAAAATAAAACAAATTAAAAAAAAAAGCATAACAAACTCTTCTGGTTCCGCAGAGAAACGCGTAGAATATCTGTCCCTGAGCGAGTTGGTGACTGAGCAACATCGATGGTCGAGTCGGGTTCCGCCTCCTCTCCGCCGCGGCCGGTGACAGTGAACGGCGGCGATGACGACGCGGCGCTGGCGAACTCGCGAGTGCTGACTCGGGAAGAGGTTATCCGGCGGCGGCACCGGCGAGTGCATCAACTGGGCCGGTGCTACCGGGCCCACTATTGGGCCCTGATGGAGGAGCTGAGGTCCAAGTACAGAGATTACTGCTGGACCTACGGGAAGAACCCCTTCAAGGAGGATCGTGCTGACAGCGACAACAACAACAACGACAACCCAAACGGCGTCGTTGCGGGTGGTGACGACATCGTGCGGTGTCGTTTTAGCGGATGCAAGTCTAGGGCAATGGCTTTGACCATGTATTGTCACCTTCACATATTGTCCGATTCCAAACAGAAGCTTTACCAGGGATGCAGAACCGTCGCCAAAAAGTGAGTTCTTCGTTTTTCAATGTTTAAATTCTTGTAATTAGCGCTTAGAGTTTGTTATTTTTTTTGCCTATTGCTTCTTTGCAGCTTCTTCATTTGTGAATTGTTGTATAGCTGTTTCCTTTCACTGTTTTTTCTGTTGAGTCATGGAATATCTCGTTGCCTTGCCTCCTTGCATTACCCTCTCCTTTAGAATCATTCCCATGGATGAATCTTTGCTTCTTGCGGCAATTGCAAGCGACGTCTTTTCCTTTCTTGTCAGCTTGACTTGTTGGGCTCTCGTAAGATTTTGTTTCAGCTCATTGAGTAAGTCATCTCTGTTCCTAAACTGGTCCTGCAACTCAATTGCAGTCACTGAGGAGGACCTAGACCATAGACTCATAGAGTGCCTTAAAAGGTGTCATTCCACCACCACTCATGTGAAAACAGGTATTGTACCAATACTCAGCCCATGGCAAAGCCTTGAACCATGTCTTCGGGTTATGAAAACTAAAACACCTTAAATACATGAGCTGCTAGATTGTCTTTCCCCGGTTTATATTCAATTGTGAAATCAAAACCAAGGAATTTATGGAGCCAAGCCTGCTGTTCTGGAGTTTGTAAGGACTGGTCCAATACGCTTTTTCAGCTCTTTTGATCAGTTTTTATAATGAAGTGATGACCCAAGAGATAATGTCCAAGTTTAGCCAAGGCTTCAGTAATAGCCATCAATTCTCTAACATATGTAGACTGCTTTTGAGCTCTAGGGGCCAGCTTCTTCAAAACATAAGCAATAGGATGACCCAATTGACTAACGACAGCTCCAATCCCAGTACTGGAATCATCAAGGGTAAAAGTTTGCTGAAAATCAGGTAATGCCAAAACTGGTGCAGATGTTATGGCTTGTTTCAGGTGGATAAAAGCCTCCTCCACTTGTGCAGTCCAACCAAAGCCATCTTTTGTGAGTAAATTAGTGAGTGGCAAGGCTAAAGTAGCATACGATTTAATAAACCTTTCATAATATCCATCAAGCCCAAGAGACCACGTAATTGCATTAGATTGATTAATTGGGCGAGGCCAATCTAAAATAGCTTGGATTTTGGCCTTGTCCATAGCAACACCCTGCCCCGAGAATGTGACCCAAATATGTCTACCTAACATACCAAAATAACATTTAGATAATTTGACAAACAAAACCTGTTGCTGTAATGTGTGTAAAACAGCTTCCAAATGTTCCAAATGATCAGAACAAGTGGGGCTATAAATGAGGATATCATCAAAGATCACCAACACATACTTGTAGAGAACATCCTAAAAAATATGATTCATCAAGGATTGAAATGTAGCTGGGGCATTTGTTAGGCCAAATGGCAGGAAAAGCCATTCATATTGCCCATGATGAGTTCTAAATGCAGTCTTGTGCTTATGATCTTGATACATCAATATTGATGGTATCTCTACTGCAAATCCAATTTGGAAAAATACTTGGCTCCATTCCATATAACTCATCCAACAATTCATCTATAGTAGGCATGGGGAAACTATCCTTTATGGTGATGGTATTTAAAGCTTGATAGTCTGTGTAAAATCTCCATGTGCCATCCTTCCTTTTTACAAACACAATAGGAGAAGAAAAAGGGCTAGTGCTTGGTTGAATTATACCTTGCTGCAACATGTCCTGAACCATCTTCTTGATTTGCTCCTTTTGACTTTGAAGATATCTATAGGGTCTGACTTTGACTGGCTGGGATCATTCCAAAATAGGTATGGCATGATCTCGACTTCTAGGAGGTGGCAAGGAAGTAAGTTGTTGAAAAGAAAGCCTTGTATTTATACAACAGTGTAACCAATTTGGGACCCAAGTCTTGTGTTAACTCCAAGAAGCTATCTGAGGTATAGGTGGACTGCATAATTTGAATGGTATACAATTCATAAATAGCTTTGGTATGATATGATGCATTCTATGCATGTGATGAAATTGAACCTGCCCAGGTAACGAAGGTGTAAGTCCCTGTAAAGTGATAAAGTTGTCTTCCCGGAAAAATTTAAGACTCAAGGTAGCATAATCGGCTATATTAGGTCCAAGCGTAGCCAGCCAAGATGAACCAAGCACAAGATCAGCACCGGATTCTGGTAAAAGGTATACAGGAACCTGCAGGCCATGACCCTGAATAGTCACTAAGTTTGAAATTCTGCCATCAGCAACCATGGACTGCCCATTTCCCACTAAGACCTTGAAACAAGGGGCAGGTTCAATAGGTAATTTGAGAAACTGAGCCACTTGAGGTTGGAGGAAGTTATCAGAGCTGCCTCCATCAACTAATATCTGTACTGGCAGACCAGCAATATAGCCTGAAAAGAGGAGAGTAACTACAACACCAGAGCCCTTCATTGCATTGAACAATAAATGACAAGAAGCGTACCCGAAAATCATGGTGGCCCATGAAACCGCGTTTCTCTCGGGCAGGCTCATCCTGTGTGTCATCATCAAGTTGTTACAACATGAAGTTCTTATTAGGAAACTTATGTTGGAAAGAGAATTTCTCATCACAATTGTAACATTGACTCTTGTGTCATCTCAACTGCATTTCAGCAG